ATTTTTTTAATTGATATTTTATTAAGTGTGTGTTTGTGTATCCAGATATTTTTATGCATATCTTAACACTTCATTTTTCATATTCTCCTCTTTCTAAGAATCAAATTAAACATTGAAAGCATATAAGTACTCTCTTATCCTCATTATCTTATTCCCTTTCTTTACCTGCTTGCCCAAACCACCGTGCAACTTCCTCTGATTCGCGATCTAAACATTATTACATTCTTCTATATTTCTTTTTGCTGGATTCCCTCTGTGCATCCTTATTTTATACTTCTAGTCTTTCCTCCAGAGCTGCGGTGGCTCAAGTGGTTAAGACGCTGAACTGCAGGCTGTCGAAGGTCGGTAGTTCAGCAGTTCAAGACCCAAGTTGCCGCATGACGGAGTGAGCTCCCGTCTCTAGTTCCAGCTCCTGCCAACCTAGCAGTTCGAAAGCAAGAAATTGCAAGTAGATAAATAGGTACTACTTTGGTGGGAAGGTAACAGCATTCCGTGCGCCTTGGTGTTTAGTCATGCCGGCCACAAGACCACAGAAACGTCTCCGGACAGCGCTGGCTCTTCGGCTTGGAAACGAGATGAGCACCGCAACCCTAGAGTCGGACTTGACTGGCTTTCGAGCAAGGGAACCTTTACCTAGTCTTTCCTCCATGCCTTTAAAGGAAAGGTGAACAGTGTTGCCTCCGTAACTGGGTGCTGCAAAGGGAGCCTCTGCAACAGGAGGAAACCCTCCTCCCTCTTATCGGAGGTCTTGGGGGGAGCACACCCTTCCCCTCCTTGCTGTGCCCTTGGCTTTAATGATCCCATTCCTATTGTCTATTTGCCATTACTGCTGAGCGATTTCATTGAGTGCCCGTGGTTTAGCAACTTATAGGGTTATTCAGCCCTCATCACAGCTCTCTCAGAGCTCTCTCAGCCCCACCCACCTCACAGGGTGTCTGTCGTGGGGAGAGGAAGGGAAAGGAATTTGTAAGCCGCTCTGAGACTCCTTCGGGTAGTGAAGGGCGGGGTGTAAAAACCAGCTCTTCTTCTCTCCTTCCACGCTGCACTCCGCCATCTCCGATAATGTTTGGCACCTGCATGGATGCTGTACATCCTCAGCTGGTACACAGCTGGTACACAGAATGTGACTTGCCACTGCCAGGTATAGGTGGCTTCAAGCAACTTCAGGTAGCACCTCTGTTGTGAGAGAGGCCGAGGGAGAGTGTCCCATCTTGTGATAGGAGCGATGCTTCATTTCTGCCCAAAGTACACTGATAAGCAACTCCCAGTGGATTGCATCCTGTGGTGGCATGAATGGAAGATGCTCACGGAGGCAGATTTTCCCCTGCTTTCGTAGCAGAGATCTTCAGCCTGCAAGAACAGTGGATGGATCAGACCAGTGAGGGTCCATCTACTCCAGCCTCCTGTCTCACACAGTGGCCAGCCAGTTCCTCTGGAGGGCCAACAACAGGGCAGAGAGGCTGAGGCCTTCCCCTGATGTTGCTTCCTGGCTCTGGGATTCAGAGGATTAGTGCCTGTGAACATGGAGGCCCCCCTCAGTCTTCATGGCGAATAGCTACTGATAGGCTTCTCCTCCATGAATCTGTCTAATTCCCTTTTAAAGCTGTTTATTCCTGTGGCCATCACCACATCCTCTGGCAGCGAATTCTGTATTTGAATCCCTTGTTGAGTGAAGCAGTATTTCCTTTTGTCCCTCCTGAATCTACTGCCCATCAGCTTCATTGGATGCTCTCAAGTGCTAGTATTTTGGGGGAGGCCACGGGCAGGGCTGTTTCCTTCCCGATTTTATGCAGCCCGAATGTAGAATCGTTCTACTGTCCTGCTTATCAAAAGACAACAGCCTAGAGTTGCAGGCAGTGTGGTGCAACAGCATTGGGTCCGGAACAGTGTTCCCTCCAAGCTGAGTTAGTGTGAGCTAGCTCACAGTCTTTTAGCCTCCGGCTCACCCATTTTGGTCTCAGCTCAGGAAGGCGGGCTCTAGAGCAAACTGATTTAAGCAGCAACCAAACCGCTCGCTCACAACTTTAATGGCAGTAGCTCACAAAGTAGGATTTTTGGTCACAAGATTCCACAGCTTAGAGGGAGCATTGGCCCGGAAGTGGGGAAACGCCGGGCCAGATCCCTGCTCCGCTGTGAGGCTGTGTTGACCCCTCACAGGGTTATTGTGTAGCCCCACTCCAAACTCCTGAAGCAACTTATATCACTCTTCTCTCTTCCATTTTACCCTCACAACAACTGTATGAGCTACTTCAAGATGGGTATCTGTGTTTGTCTGTCTGTAGTGGTAGAAAAGAGCAAGGGTTCAGTAGCTCCTTAAAGACTAACAACATTTTTGGCAGGGAGGAGCTTTCGTGAGTCACTGCCACTTCTTCAGATACAACTAGAATGGGAGTCCAACTGTCCTGTTTATTGGAAAGTGGAATAATCTCAGATGCTGAATGACATTAGCAGACAAATGACAATAGCAGATGTGATTGGAATTAGGTGAGAGATGCTGAAGGGTAATAGGTGTAGAGAAGTCAGCATTGGTAATGAGACAGGAAACCTAGATCTCGATTCAGTCCAGGTGGATGCATTGTCTTGAGCTTCATTATCAGTTGTAATTCAACAGTCTCTCTTTCTAATCTCCCTTTGAAATTCCTTTGTAAGAGAACGGTTACTTGTAGGTCAGAAACTGAATGTCCTGGAAGGGTAAAATGTCCCCCCAACTGTTTTTTGAATGTTGTGGTTCCTAATGTCTGAGTGATGTCCATTAATTATTTGTCGAAGGGACTGGCCTGTGTGGGACGCAAATCTCACAGCCCCGTGAGGGGCTCAAAGCTCGTTCTTCTACTGCACACCAACATATCTGTCCTCTGAAACTACTGGCGAGGTGTGACCGGCCCGAGGTCACCCAGCAAGCTTCGCTGGCAGAGTGGGGATTCAAACCTTGGAATATCCCAGAACCTTCTTCCCCACACTGGCTCTCAGACGACGCGAAGGTGATCGCAACAGCAGCGTAATAATAACAGCAACATTGAAATGTTTTCTAGGATCTCGTTCATCGATCTGGCGGGCAGCGAAAGAGCAGCTGATGCCAGAGACTCTGACAGGCAGACAAAAATGGAAGGCGCAGAAATAAATCAAAGCCTTCTGGCGGTGAGTTCTGAATTGTCATGTCGGGTGCACTTCCCTGAGATGGGCTGCAGGCAGTTTTCCGGCAAGCGGGATGGTCCCCGGATGGGACGGGGGGCGGCTTTACGCCTCGGAGCGGAACACCAGTCTCAGGGGCCTGTTCGTTTTTCTTAATCGTCAGAAAGGGCGGGGCCGAAGTTAAGCTTTGCAGGGCCCCGAGCAGAGATTTACTTTCAGTGCCTTCTGCTTTGTACTCTGGTTGTGTTTTCTGATATGTCGAGGTCTGTTTTGGGGGGAAAAACAACAACTGTTATTTGGTTGATCTCGGCGTTTCTGTTTTAATTTGATCTGACCCGGAATGGCCCGGGCTAGCCCGATCTCATCAGATCCCAAAGAGTGATGAACGCATGGAACTCACTGCCACAGGAAGTGGTGGTGGCTACAAGCATGGACGGCTTCAAAAGGGAATTAGATAAGCACAAGGGGTGGACCCGCGATACTCGCAGGGGCGGGGGAGGCAGAGGAGGAAGCAGCAGGAGGAGGTAAGTACCCCCCCATCCTGCCGGTTCCCCCCTGTCCTCCACCCCCCCTTGATCT